GCTTCTGTTATTTCTAAACTTTTGACAACCTTTACCACATTCAGTTGTTGCTCTATACTTAAATCTGGACATGCAATTATTATCATTTACACCATTGCAAACATAGATATTTATGCTCAGTCAAATCCATAATTTTTCCAAAAGTGTGAGTAATTAGCAACTCAGACACCATAACAAAGATATTTTTATGTAATTTTACAGAATCTCAAATTTCATTCAATTTTACCATAGCTAGAAAGAATTTGGTCTCTGCTTACATTTTGCTATTTTACTGTTATACTTTTGACTTGGAAAAAATCTAAGTTTTTAAAAATTTGATCTTATTAAGGACATTAATATTCAATGGCTAAAAAATAATACAAGTATTAAATTGACTTGCATATGATAATTAAAAGCCTTAAAGAATTTATTCATCTACTTTTTAATGATAATAAACATGATGATAATATAAGCTAACACTTAACATAGGTCACGATCTCTTCCGAGCAGTACATTTTTATAAGTTTGCTGTATACCTGCATGTACGTGGAGTGTCCACCTGCGTCTGTGTATCTGTGTGTGTGCATGCGTTTGTGGCTGTCAATGTACGTGTGCAAGTGATTTGTGACCATCTGTGAGGTTAAATCTTGGAGTCGTTTGTTGGTTCTAAGTATCTGGCTTAATAAGGAATTCCAGGACACAGCATTACAGAACGTTCTTGTATGTTTTCCTCTACAACATTCATGGTTAAGTTCTTGGAATTTCGTTTTGAAACTTGTATTTGCCAAGGACCTCCCCATCCTGCCTAAACTCATAGTCTTTCCTAAAGAAGCCATCCTTTTCCTGACTGATTAGAAATAGCCCTCTATCCGGTACTCATTTTCACTTTATGTTATTTTGTATAATGACACAATGTACAATTCATTCTCCTTGTTTCATTACTCTCCTGAGGCAATAGGACAGAAATACATAACAGAAGAAGAAAAATGGGGGCAGGTGAGAGAAAAACAAAGAAGAAGGGAAGAGGAGAAAGAGAACCTACATTACTTGAGAATTTATTCTCAGTCAGACATTTTGCCAAGTGAAACAGAATTCCAAATAGTTAAGGGCCTTGCTCCATTCTGACTGAGATCATCAACTGAATTAAAATCGTTTTTCTTCTCCCTCAGAAGATTAACATGTGATATATGGCTGTAATCGAGTCAGCCTTAGACTGATAGTTAGAATTCCTGGGTTCAGAGTGGTCTTCTGCATTGCAGGGCTCCAGGGAGGACCAGCCAAGATGCCCCAGGTAACTGTGTCTCTGTGAGTGTGTGCGTCTGTGTGTGCACAGAAAGAGGAAGTGTTCACATGTGAGTCAGCTGGCGTAATTTTTTAGTTTTAAATGTAGTCAAATATTTGGACTGCATTCCCTTTTAAAAAAAATAGCTAAAAACTAACACATGCTTTAATCTGGTAAACATACTCATGAGTTTAACATCTCAAGTTCAAATTCTGTGCGCGAGCTGGGCCCCAGCAGCTCCTAATACAGCACTAGGCTGTGCGCCACATGGGGAGAGAACTGAGTGAGATCAAACCGAACCCACACCGGGGGAGACGGTTCCACGCCAGGCTCACTTTCCTGATGCACCCGGGCAGGTAGTTAAAAGCTTCGGGATTTGTGTGGGGGTTAGCACAAGGAGAGCCATCATCACTCTGTGATGAACAATAAATGTTAAAAACAGAAACCTTAATTCAAAACGTGAGTTCAAATTTACATGTAAATACACTCTATAATGTAAAATAATCCTATCATATATCTGACATACATTACTCCATCTAAATTATTTATATTTTGCCCACAAACAGTCCACATTCATAAATATCATATTTGGATTGATTTATTTTTGTCTTTATACACCAGTCTGTTCTTCAAGCTCCAGGCTTTTAATTAATCTGGATTTGGGGTATAAATTCTTTGTGCCTTGATTAATACCAAACAAGCTTCATTTAATTAAAGAGACAGGCTGGTGAAAGGCATTTTAATCAAAAATTTCATATGCATACAGTACATCTGTATTTAATACTTGCAAAGGAAAAAAACACCTGATTTATTGTATTTATTTTTTAAATGTTTTGAATAAGGCAATAGTTCTGTTTCTGGTGATGAATGCCTTCTGCACCTACTTCATCTCGGAGCCATCATGGCGGCGAAGAGAAAGAACATGGAGGCCCAGAGAGAGGCCCCTGGCATCACAGCGTGCTGGATGCAGAATGCTGGCACATCTCACGTGGACAGGGGAGAACATGAGAGATCACCTTTGTCAGGACCTGGCACCTCTGTTCAGAGCCCTTGAGGGCACCACTCTTCAGAGAAGGTAGGTGGGGAAATGGAACATAATCTAAAATTGGAGAGACTTGTCCTGTTTTTCAATTTGTGACTTATGTTGTTGAGAATGGACGTCCTTTTTATACCAGTATTTCATTCCTAGACGTTTTGATGGAAAGGCGTTTCTGTAATTGCACTGACATCCACAGGCTCTGGTATCTTCTTCCGCACGGATTTACCAAGCTCTGCTCACCCATCTCCTCGCTGCTGGGCACCCAGACTGCCTCTGCTTGTTCCCTCTGTAAGCACCGATGGGATCCGCATCCTTGGACATGAACCTTTGCTTATGAATCTGGTTATTCCTTAAACAGAACAGAGTCCCAGCATAGGAAGTCTAAGAGATAATTGGTTCTGTAGCTTCTTGCTGCATTTCGACAAGTGTCTTCCTGAAAAGCACCAGTTTATCTGCACTCCACTCTTGTCCACCACCAAGAGTGACTGTTTCTCTGTGTCCTGACCAATCTCATGTTCATGATGAGCCTGCATTCCACGGTTTCATTACATGTAGACCGTGACAGGTGAGTTAGCCACGCATCTACTATAAATACAGCTGAGAAAAATTAATCCCGTAGTTGTTTTAGAGCATGAGTTACATGTTCCCCTCACCAAGGGCAGTCACACTTGCAAACCCGAGGGGTCAGGGTGCCGGCACCGTGCAGAACTGGTTCTCCAAGAGAGCTCCTGCACCAGCAGCATTAGAGTTTGCTAGAAGCGCAAATCCCTGGCTCCACCCCAGCCGGCAGAACCAGAAATCCGGGGGGCAGGACCCCACGCTCTGTTACGTCTTCCAGAAGATTCTCATGCACACCAGCCTCAAGGCTTTAGAGTAGAAAGACCACACCGCAGCCAGCTGCCCTCCTGCCGTGAACTCCCGCCGCAGCCAAGAGGCGGCGACGAGGCAGGTGTCTGTGAGGTTGTGGGAAGGTGTGTGCCCTCCAGGGGCCTGTGACCCCACCGGGTGGAGCTGCTCTGAGCGGGGGAGGCAGGCGTGGCCCCCACAGCTCACCCGTCCATTTGCGCTAAGGTTCAGGAGGACCCAGGCACCCTGGGGCCCGTACTCCAGAACAAGATGCTCCTCATGCACGCAAGCCCCCTGCGTCGGACGTGCAAACTCTCGAAGGCATTTACCCTCGTGGACCAAACCGACTGCTGGGGGAGTCTGACCGAGGGAGGCTGTCTCCTGACAGTCATACGAGACGTGGGTGGCCAGTCACCAGGAGAGCCCTCCTGCTAACACTCAGAAGTCCCCTTCTTTACAGCTAAGAGCAGTGAGGCCCCCGAGAGTAACGCGTTTTCACAGAGATTCCGTGGAAGGGACCCACTGGCTTCCGTTGCATCCTGTGTCAGAGGAGGCTGAGGCTGGAGAACGTCAGTAGTTTGCCAGCATGGAAAGTCCTCCCTGCTGCTTCCATGACAATGGACACAAACAGCCAGGACAACGGGAATAAAGCTGAAGAGGATGAGCTGACAGAGAGCACACCAGCTTTTTAAAGAAGAGATTTCCTTCTTTGATGAACTAACTTACAGTAGCTACAGTGGTTGCAAAGACACCAAAAACAACCCACATGGAATTTAAGAAACGGGAGACCCAAATTACTGGTTTGAGAGCATGGAAAATGGTAAAAGCATGTGATCTTGCATAAAAAGAATGGAAAACTCTTGGTAAAGTATCAGAACAACGCTGCCTTGCGATGTGTGGACCTAAGGTTGGGCGGACATACCGGCATGCAGCTGCGAGGAGAGGGACCGTACGTCAGGTGTCGTCATGGTTCAGCCACAGACAGGCAGCTCTTCGTGCGGGGCAGGGCAGGCCTTCGTCCCCAGCACTGGGGCCAAGCAACAGCCACGGCTGCTCTGGGCGAAATCTTTTCTGCTTAGTTCATCGTGCGTGAGAGCGTTTTAAATTCTGCTTACACGGCTTCTTTTGTCTAATTCTACAAGGTGTTTGAATACTTA